AAAGTAATTAAGTAAACAACGATTTTAAACTGTTTTCATTTCATCATATACATTTCATCATATACATTATATACGTTAAACCAAAATTATATGAATTTAGACAGCCTATTTGTAGTGGATATGCTTGATTACTTTTCCTGTGGTATGTTATGTTTTAATGACAGCGAGGAGTGCTATAGGTGCCCAATAATTTATCTTTAAAGTAAACTGCACATCTCATGTTATGAGCATGGGTGGCGCTAGGGAGGGGCTAGCGGGTGCTTCAGCGCCCCCAAGAAAGACAAAAGCACCCCCATAGCACCCCCACAGATTTTTTCCCTGGAATCAGTTATATACTATAGCCTATTGTATTTAAGATGATAATAAAAAAAATAAAGAAAAATAACATTACGCATTCATAACTCGTGCAATGCAATACCGACGTGATTTGCAGCTGTCGCACTTTTCGTAATGTCATTATAGCATTTTATTTTAAAAATGGAGCGCTTCCTTGTGCTAAGTATGCCTGTCCCGAGTAAAGATTTTTCTAGGCAACTGGTCGCATGTTATATTAAATTGAGTAATATAATAATATATTAACAATTATTTAATATATAGGCAGGCGTTTTAGGCTATAGCCTATTCCGCGCTCAAGCTCGCGCATAAAGCAATTGCCTCAAAGCACCGGCAAAGTGATTATGATCGTGTCGGGGGAAAAGAAAAGTATAAAGTAAAGTAAAAGACTGCTTCTTAAAACAGAGAAGGTGAACGTGTTGGTATTCTTGTGGGTGGAAAAAAACATGCAAGCACTGTCACCGGCAGCAAGTTTAGTTTTACTTTTCTTTTTGTTTTCATTTTGAAAAGCTTATCTTTGCTGTTTACCTAAGGTTATGCTATGGAGGCTCTCTTTTATTTATTTATTTTTTATTTGATTCCTCAGTGTTTGCTAAATGTTCTGTAATTTATTGCTAAAAAATAACATTATTTTATGTATTTGGTGTAATGAAATGTGTTTATGCGGTTTAAGAACACATTATTTTCCACATACTGTACATTATTGTTTCTCCTCTATGCCCCACCTTTCTGAAACGCCACGATTTTTACAAAGCTCATCGAAAAGCGAGGTGTGCTCTGATTGGCCAGCTATCTAGTGCGTTGTGATTGGCCGAATTCCTCAAGCGTGTGACGGAAATGTTATGCCCCTTACCATACTGTGATGCCGTGTCCCGGCGCCACAAGACAAAACCAATAAAACCCATTATAAACGAGGCATTTGTTGCATCCAGCGGGGACATAATTACTGATTATAATTACTTATACTGTCTTTTTACGCGTTGCGTTGCATCGCACCGCGATGACATAAAACCATGTCTGCATTTGTGATCGGAGAAACGACAAACAACAAGCGCTACTCTACACTGCTCAAAACTCGCGTTTGAATCATCAGTGGCAAATCCTTTAAATATGAAAACGTACTTACAGGCTGTGAGTCAGCATTATTCGTCAGCATCATAGACTGTATAGGGTCAGCATGCACGCCGAAGGGGAAACAGGGGAACTGAATTCACCGGAATACCGGCATTGTGGGCTACTCTCCCAGGAAACAGTCCTCCTCCTCCGTAAAATGCATTGCACACATCTGAATATTTGGTTTGAACTGTTCTGGAACAGTGTTGTAAATACAACTTAACTGCTGATTTCTAGTTGTGTCCTCTTTTGGAAGACCAAATAAAGTACGTTCGCTTTTATAACGAAACACACAGCGTCTCCAGGACATGGCGGCGGCGGCAACAACAATACTACAGTGAGAATTAAAGTTACGCCTTCTTTCTTTGCGTATAGATTTGGGCGGTGTTATGCAAATTTTCCCACACAGTGACGTAGACATGTGGGGGCGTGTTTAAACGAGGCACTTTAGGAGGGCGTGGACGAGTCTTAACTTTATAAAGAATATCTCTTTGGGTTTGAGACTTTAGTCTTTGCAACTTTAGGGATCTTATCTATTCACGAACAGCTTGTAACACTCCAAAGAGAAAGGAAAACTTGAAATCGCATCATATGACCCCTTGAAAATAATTTGTCAATGATGCGTCAGATAAATGAGTCAGATAATTGTATTTACACCGCAATAAATATAGGCCTATTTTTCCACTAAAAATAGCTAAAAGATTAATAAACGCAAAACTGCATTAATTTAATTTAATTTGAATTTTTTAAAATAATTGAAATATTATTGGGCCAGTGGAAATTAATGAGATTAACTCTATTCTAAATTATTTTTCTGAGAACTATTTTAAACAGTTTTTTTATGGATATTTGATATATTTATTCTAAAACAATATACTATAACAAGAATACCGGATGAGTTTTAGCAATAAAAATGAATGTGTATGGCACAAATGGCATTTATAGTCCGTATCTCATATTTCCTTAATGTCTTGTACCTTTGACGGTGTTAAACATGGTGTCACGTGGATGGGAATATGCATAGAAATTATATGCAGATGAGGTTGTGCATAATAAAACTAGGCGTTGTAAGCTCCATATATGGTGATTTCGGAGAGGAGTCTAACTCTATTCTAAATTATTTTTCTGAGAACTATTTTAAACAGTTTTTTTATGGATATTTGATATATTTATTCTAAAACAATATACTATAACAAGAATACCGGATGAGTTTTAGCAATAAAAATGAATGTGTATGGCACAAATGGCATTTATAGTCCGTATCTCATATTTCCTTAATGTCTTGTACCTTTGACGGTGTTAAACATGGTGTCACGTGGATGGGAATATGCATAGAAATTATATGCAGATGAGGTTGTGCATAATAAAACTAGGCGTTGTAAGCTCCATATATGGTGATTTCGGAGAGGAGTCGGGGTGGAGATGCATGTATGCACAATCTTCCCCCCTGACTGGGATTTATAAAGGGATTTTTGCGCAGGTTCTGGCGTACGCATGGTTTTATAAATCTGAAAACTTTTGAGCGTACGCAAAATCTAGCTTTTGTGCCTACCTACACTTTTAGAATTCCACGGAGAGTTTTATAAATGAGACCCCAGGTCTGTATAATTTATCTATTTCCAACATCATAACTCCAGGTTTTATAAAAAATCACACACACACACACACACACACACACACATATACACACAAAAATTCAAATCTTCAGTATTATGACACCAGGCTTGTTAGTACAAAAATATTCAGAGTCTGGATATTCACGAGCAGGAATCTTTGCAGCTAATATAAAACAATCCTCTAGCGATCTGGTATGGTGGAAACAAAGTAATTACCTGAAATTAATTAAATGACTGTAATTATGGTGATGTTGTTGGTTTTTTGCACTAATGTTCAGGGAGGCAGTTGAAAAACCTGTCCCACTGTTGGATTTGACAAGAATCAAACTAACACCATGCTCTTAAATAGCTTATGTGTTAGTACAAGAGGAAGCTAAAACACATTTGAGGCTGAATATTGCCAAGAAACAATTTTGTTATCACCAGTTGTAAATGCATATCTGCACACACCATGGCAGAGTCATTTACTAATAAAGCAGCCATTCGTTCATAAATGGCACTGCAGAAGAATTATTAAATGTTTGGTTATGTCTAATGTTTGAATTTGTTCTAGTCTAGATTATTAGACATAGGCCTAATGTAATGGTGCTTTGAAAGGCAATCTGACACTAGTTTCCATCTACTTTCATACAAAATAATTTCTCGTGTTTTTAAATTTGTTTTTAGTTTTATACGGTTTTCAAATTACTCTACATTTCACTTCAGTTTCAGTTAGTTTCAGCAATGGTTTCGTTTATGTTTCCAGCACTAAACTATTTATATTTCTAAGCAATCAGTTTTATTTCTGTTAGTTGTTTGATTGATTTCTTTGTTGTTGTTGTTTTTATGCTGTTGACTGACTGAGCGGAAAGACACCTGTTCTGTTAAGAACAAAACCTGTATTAGCTGCCACTTTTTCTGAGGAGAGAGTTGTAGCCTTCAGACATTCACATTACTAGCATTCCTTTTACGACACCTCTAGGTGGCAGGTGGAAATTACAGTATATACTATATAACATACATAACTGACCATGTCTAATAAAGCGGTCTTCTTTTTTTAAAAAAAAAAAAGCATTCATACCACTTTCTATGAACAAAACCTTCAAAAGTCTAAAACAATAACCTGACCCTTGGAGAGGAGGAAAGAAAGTCACAGAGGTTCAAAAAGGCATGGCGGTGAATATTGTGCATAATAACAGAATTTTTGTCACATGTGAAGACACTTACCTAGATAAACAGTTTTAAGCTCAACATTCAAAGTTTGACACTGATTAGAGAAGAATTAAGATTAAAGTCTTGTCAGCAGCAATTAAACAGTAAAGCACAAAGATGCAAAAGGTATGGGATGCATATGAACCTTGTAAGAGGATTTGTGTAAAGGACAAGAAACATGGTGATAGTAGAGCAGCAGGAACTGGAAAGTGAAAAAAGCTTTTATCATTTCTCATCCCCTTCTGTGAAAGATGTCCATTTATGCCAGCATCCTGCTATGCTATGCACAGCATTTGCCCCATTGTGTAGGTGATTATGTGTGCATGCATTTGATAGTTTCTTGTTTTACATGCGTTTGTCATTTTTTGGTAAAAATTAGTATTTGTATTTGATTTGGCTGCTAAGTGAAAATGTCATAATGTCAAATTAAACATAAATATAAAATAAAATATAGATGAGTCGATATTGAGACTGTAAAAAGCCCGGCGTCTTAATCATGAGTCACGATTTAAAAACAAAAAGTAAAACCACTTCACTGATATGATTTCACTTTTTTCTTCTTGGAAGATTATAGAAGTTCATATTTTTAAACCTATTTCAAAGTACAATTCTGTAATGTTTAGATATTGATTTAAGGTTAAATGCATACAGTTTTGTAGTATGTGGGTTTTAAATTCTACTCTGTGTACAACGGTAGTTACTGGAATAATTACTTCTATAAATCAGGACAAGCATTTATTTGTGGTTTTGGGTAATAGATGGTGGTGACTGCAATTAAACTCATGTACTGTATGTAGCTTTACTGTATGTTTTATCTTTAAGCCTATGACCATGACCCTGTCTAAGAGCCAGAAGTGACAGATGGATGAACAGAATGACAAAAACTGGACTGCAGTAGAGAAACAGCGAGGGTAAGTCCAGCCTCCTCTTCATGGACACTTGTACCTCCTAATATCAAACACCATGGCATCTTTTATTTGCTCGGCTGAGTCTATGATTAGCTTAGACTGCGTCCCCTAGAGTAAAACATAATTGTCACTGCGACATCACCATGTAATATGTTAAATCTTCCATTATGAAATTACCCGACTATGTAGGTGCTCTTTAAAGGAATAGTTCACCCCAAAAAATAAATAAATATGAATAAATAAATAAAAATCACCCTTAGGCCATCCAAGATTTAGAAGACTTTGTCTCTTCATCAAAACCGATTTGAGAAAATTTAGCATTAAATCACTTGCTCACCAATGGATCCTCTGCAGTGAATGGGTGCCATCAGTTAGTATTTACAGTTTAAGAAATAGTTACATATTGTAAAGAAAAAAAAATACTGGCAATATTTACAATGCACATCTTGTTTGACACCTGTTAATCAAAAGTATATATGCATTACTGCCTTTCCATAGTAATTTCTCTCTGTTTTCTACCAAGCACTTTAAATCACGCTCATTGCACTCTTTTAGTACAAGGCCTGTCATTGAACAGCTGTAGAGATTCTCAGTGGTAACCTTTAATTTGGCACAAGCAACATGCCAGTGGCTAAAATCTCATGATCACCTAAAAGCTGCAATTTGGATCCTAGGCAGCTGCAAGCGGTTAGCTTCACTGCAGTGCTGGATATACTCTGCAGATATAGAGATGTTAACCACATGGTTCTGATAGGGCTCTGACAGGCCAAAAGATCCTAATTGCTCCCTTACACCCCTTCATTAAAAGGCTTAATGGGGAAAACAAGTAGCTTCAGCCATGGAGGTTGTCTCTTTTGTAAAAGATGCTGCAAACAAAGAAAGTGCACAAGCACTGACAGAATAAAAGATAATACACTATAAGTCCCCAAATGGGGCTGTTTCTGTGTTACTTGTTGTAATTTCTACTAAGATTGTTCATTTAACATTCATTGTTTTCCCAGGAACTATCGGAATTGGTAATGGTAGCATTTGATATGATGAAAAACACAAAACAGCCATTTAGAGGAATAAGAATATATTTATTATACTTAATTTTATGACGCAGTCAGTGTTAAATAGTAACATTTGTAAAATTTTGATTGCTACAATAAACTGGAACAACAGACTGACTTTACTGCGTTGGATTTTATCTAATCTTTTAGCATGCATTTCACTGAACTCTGTGTATGGTTAGACAAAATGATTCATTAAAAAGATCTCCGACTGGACATCATTCTCGGTCCACAGGGTTTCCAAGCCAGTCTCAAGGCAGACGCAAGCTATTTGCTTTTCCCAGGCGTCTACTGGTAATTAATCATTATTCATAGCAGAAAACATAACAAAAAAAACACCAAATCTTGTCTGACACTATCATGATACCATGTTATTCTTTAAAATACCTTGGGACAGCTAAAAAATAAATGGCATTTCAAAATGTAAGCTATATCAAAGTACCATTGTATTGCCATTCAATGGTACTGCCACTGCACTTTTGTGCAGAAAATATTTAAACACAAAGCTTAGACTATTAGAATGTATAGGGATACTATGCTAAATGCCATTTAAATACTTCAGAAATATCACAAATTATCAAAAGCCATATCTGACATGGTAAATTAATTTGTTCATATGCATATGTACGTCTATATATGTGTGCATATATTTTTATAAATATGCAGAAAAGGTTATATACTATATCAAGGTAGAGCTTTCAATTCAATGGCACTTAATTATACAGTAAACATAAATAACAGTATGCAGACTGATATCTACAAAATTGTCACAATTTCTACATCACGTGATAGAAATATCAAATTCACAACGACAAATTATCTGTGTTATGGCTGAGAAAACAACAGTGTTTCTCTTCTCTTTTCTTTCTCTGCTCCACACTCACACTCTCTCTCACATCTCATTAACAAATATGAGAGGGCCTCTGGATGTGGGACTCCCCACCTGTTGGTACAGCATCGGCTGTCCAAGATTGGTTTGGGGTAGGCTGAAGCCTCCGCTTGATAAGTCAAAACTCCCCTGGTTGTAGAGCCTCTGGCCAAAACCAGCTGCGGATTGATCAAAACTGGTTTGACTGTATTGCCTGAAGCTGTCGCGTTTCTCAGAGGGAGTTCTGGAGGGATAGCGCTGAATGGACTTATGCAAACCTGTCTCTTTGTAGGCAAACCAAATATTACCAGCCCAAAGGAAGAAGTTCAAAAAACCAAAGGCCTGTAAGCAGACAAGGATGAATTATGGAATGTAATCATTTCTAGTTGTAAATTGGTCATTTTTATAGCAAAAGAAATTTGTCAAGACATACTTATACTGGCTTGACTAAGCCTTACGTGAAAGTTTAAAACATTTTTAAAACCATTAAAAAGTCTGAAAGCAGTTGCTAGGCTGTTGTGGATTGTTTCTATGTTGTTGATAAGATGGTGTTGCGTGGTTTGTAGGGGGTTCTAGGGTGGCTGCTAGGCTTTTGTGGTGTTCTTGTTGGTGCCAAATTATGTGAAGCCCACATAATTATGCATATAAAAATATTCACTTCTGCTCAAATGTTTGTGGTTAAAAATAATTTTTGTGTTTGTGAAAAAAGTGCTTGAAAAAAGTTTCTAATGTTGAAATGTTCAATGCTGCATGTATTATACAAAAATAATTGCAAAAATCCAGTTAAAACAATAATACTGTGAAACGTTAATACAATTTCAAATAACTGTTTGCTATTTTAATATATTGTAAAATGTAATGTATTCCTGTGACGGCTATACTGAATTTTCAGCAGTCTTTATATGCTGATTTGGTGAAAATGAAAACATTTCTTATTATTATCAATGATGAAAACTGCTTATTATTTTAATATTTCTACAATTTTTATTTTTGTGCAAACCGTGATACTTTTTGTCAGGAATCTTTAATACAGAGTTCATAAGAACAGCATTGCCAACTAATTTATCATTTTTGCATTATTTTGCAAAAATGCATCTTTGCAAAATAAAACTATTACTGACCCCATACTTTTATATGGTAGTATATGTCAATTATTAATTAATTGCTATGATTTTTCATTTCCCATATCAATACTGTGAAAAAATAATCTACTCACCACAGACATGTTGAGATTTGTCCAGATGGGCTCCTGCAAGACCTCACATAAGTTCTCTTGGGCTCTGCAAGCAGACATTAACAGCAGGATTTGATGCACATCAGTGACTGTCTTCACCCCAGACAGAGTTTTAGCCCAGGCAATTGAGCTTACCAGCCACAGGCTAGAGAACACTAAAGTCACCAAGAAATCCTATGGAGATAGAAAATAAGAAGAGTATAAACAGAAAGAGGGTCTTGATGATTCAATTGAGTTATATTGAGCATTTCAGCACAGTATGTGCTCTCAGAATTTTCTTTTTACAGCGTACATTTCTTACAGAAATTCTGAAATACACTCACAACTACTGGACCTCTGTTCTTCTCTCTGTATTTGTTCTGGTAGAAGAAGTAAACAATTGTGGCCAAAAGGGAATAGAGAAAAGCCAGGACGGCCACAGTGACGAAAAACTGTGCAGATGAAGCATAATCCCCTTCCAGAAAGAGAGTCTCTTTCCTGGTTCCTTCACATAGAGGAGCACTGAAGTGTACCTGTTGCAGTCTGGGAAGAGACAACATAGGAATTGGCTACTTTAACATGTTTAAAGCCCATCTTCTTTTCACTTCAAGCACAGTTTATTTTTGTAATCTTTAAAAGCCGAGACTGTGACAATGGGATGCCACTAATATGTCAAATATCTTCTAAAAATAGTCACTCACTTCAGCTACAGTTACTGACGGCATTATACATATTTGGTAGTTAGCTATGATTAATTTATTCTACAAGAAAAAGTAGCCATTTATTAGTACTAATTAAGCACATATTAATGCCTTATTCTACATGACCTTATTCTACATCCCTAATCCTACCCAACACCTAAACTTAACAACTATCTTACTAACTATTAATAAGCAGCAAATTAGGAATTTATTGAGGGAAAAGTTGTAGTTAATAGTGAATAAGTGTTCCCTATTCTAAAGTGTTACCAAATAGATAGATAGATGACAAAAGGACATAACAAAAACAAAAATTAAAATGAAAACTGAAAATCTAAAAGCTAGTTGAAAATATTAATAAATATTATAATTGCATATAAATTATACTAAAATAACACAGACCAGCTCTAAATTAAACCACTTTTATTAGAACTATTTATTTATGTCTAAAAATAATAATGAGTAAAGAAATTACTGAGTGCACCATTAAATAATACTTTCATTGTGAAGGTTAAATTAGTCTTATAATTTTGTAAGAATTTCTTTGACTTAATAAAACCAAAAATATTAAATCAAGTCTTTTTAAGTAAACTGATAATATATATTTACAGTACAACATGCAGAATAATACTTAAGTTGTGTTTGTGGTAATTAAGAACACTTACCTGAATGGGTAGTTGAAACTGATGCTGATGTTGTTTTGGGTTTTGTCAAAACATTCTACTTTAACCATTATCTGGCCAGAATATCCCCCACATGTTGCAAATGCTAAAACAGCAAAAAGCTGTGGGAGAAAAAAAGCTAAATATTAATGAAAAGCCCTGATGATATAAGCCTATATGTGAAGAGGACAAAGATCAGCTCTCTTGACTCTCTATCAGCAGCTTTACTTCATCACACAAAGTCAAGACAAATTAACCTCACAGAACATTAAAACATTCTGTTTTAATTATCCTCTTATTTTCTGATTTAAGGTCAATTTATATGACCTCTCATCCAACTGCTGCATGATTAATCGTGCAAAATTAGACACAGATGCTTTTTAAGTGCACTTTTTAAGTGCACTAACTCTTGCAGTTACTCTCTACCTGGATGCCAGGCACTGGTCTGACACGATTTGAATATTTTTCACCGGTTCAGTATTGCATTTGGCATAATGAGTGAAAGGGCTGGAGGTTTACTGGACAAGTGCCAGGGCTTTATTCTCTGTGGACACAGGTGTTTGATAAGAAATGTGTCCAAGTCTCCTGCTATTCTCTCCCCCAATCCCTTCCTCTCTTTCTGTTCTTGATAATATGATACAGCAGGTAAAAGGAAGCAGGCCATTTCAATTCAGATTTAATGCCTTCACTGCGTATATTAATTAAATACAGTCTGAGATACTTATGCTATGAGTGTGTGGGTCTGTGTGTGTCAAAGGAAGACACAGAAGAATGGAGAGTTTTTAAAAATGTATTATGTTATTCCTTTCTCCAGACTAGATGAAAATTGCTTTGGAATTGTGTGAATAGTTAATCAATATCATATGTATAGACATCCCATATAACACATACTAATGTCTTTAGACTATGCATACACAGAACAGATGAAGCAAAGAAGAAAATTGGTTTCTTCTTTGATGAGTCTCTGATGAGACCCAGTGAATTATGCAAAGGTTACCCAGGGGTTGCCAGCACACCCAGAAACACA